GGCAACTTTAACATTTGAAAGGATATTATGGCAAAGTTATTGCTTTCTTTATTCAAACTGATTTTTTTTTCATGAATATATATATGGTTGACCTGAAGAATGAAAGCTATATCATACACTTGGAAAATTACGAGCTATATCACCGCTTATCGAAACTGGGGGTGTGACAATACACTTAGCTCACGAGATGAGACAAAATACAGATACTTGGTTCACTAGAAATAATATTTTAATACTATTTTTAAGAAATTTTCAATGACAAAATATTTGTCTTTTAATTACAAAAAGTAAAACAATGCAGTTGTATTTAGAAATATTTTAACTAATCTAGGGCTGTAACTAAAGATTATTTTGGTAATCAAGTAATCTACTTATTATTTTGACAACTGAGTAATCTGATATTTTTTAGTAACAAACAGACCTAAGTGAAAACCAGGCTTTAGTATTACTATTTATATATAAACTAAAGATGAGGCAATAATAATTGGCTCAAATAAACAAACAAGTAATTACATGGTTTTATTGAACAACACTGTTAAAATACATAATGTAATATTCCAATACACATAATATGAACATAACTAACTTAAAGGGTTAGTTCACCTCAAAATGAAAATTAGGCTGCGTTTTACTCACCCCCCATGCATCCTAGGTGTATATGACTTTCTTCTTTCAGACGAATCCAGTCGGAGTTACAATTTTTAATATAACTCCGACTGGATTCGTCTGAAAGAAGAAAGTCATATACACCTAGGATGCATCGGGGGTCAGTAAAACGCAGCCTAATTTTCATTTTGGGGCGAACTAACCCTTTAAGTACATGATGTATTATAACAAATACCTGCAGAGGGCGCCAAAGGCCTGGTGACATTTCACTTTACAGCATGATTAAACGATGTTTAAATCCATTACATTTTAATATGTTTATAAATGATTTACGTTACAAATCTAGTGAGATAATGCACACTGTTTTTCCAGATGAACGTTACAGAGGAATACAGAGTTATGCATATACAGAGGAAGCGTTTAGCCCCTTTCACACATACAGTACTGGTAAATTAAATGAACTTTTCCACGACATTCTAATTTACTGAGATGCACCTGTAGATCATGTGTGAACAGGACCTTTTCAAAAATCCCGGTAAATTTGTTCTGGTGATCATATAGTTTCTTATGGAGATGACATGATTACTCTGAGCTGCTTACAAAGCGCCGCTGCTTTTTAATTAGTTTTCCAATATAAATATGCGTTAGATGGACATCTTTGACCATTGCGCCTCGCAGCTTTTTCAACGTGTCGCGCTTCTCCATTCATCAGGGCTGCGACTCTGCAATTGGATAGCTACTATTATGCGCGTCTCGCATTTATAAGAGCAAAAAATTCTGATTGGCTAGTAGCCTAATGTTAGTTTGGTTGAGAGTGAAAGCTGTGCTCCTCTCATACCATTGGTAGGTGAACTCATGGACTCGAAAGTGATATCAAAACATTTTTTTAAAATGTAGGATTATTTTTTTCCGCTGCCAAACGCTGCACGCCGGAGATCCGGCATGGTGCCGGAGAACTTTAAGCCCTGTAAATATGAACATTATTAACTCTTCTCACTGCACAAAAACAGATTCAGTATTCCTCAAAATGAATAAAAACAGTCAAATGCAAACTCAGAATATTATATAAACTTGCAATAATTAAATAGGTTAAATAAGACAAATATCATTTATGTATTTAATCCCATTTTATTAACCAATGTCTTTGCTACTGACCTTCGATGATCTAATTCAACCATACTAATAAGCAAAAATGACACATTTGTGTTTAATTTTTGTTATTGTGGAATAGTGATGAACTTTCTTCTCCTGCGTCATATTCTTCATGCAATTTGTTTGAGCTGTGCCCTCTACTGTACAGACGTGAATTTGCATTTCCTTCAGCCTGAGGCATATTCATTTCACTTCTGTTGTGAAAAGGGCTTTTACATTTGTAAAAGAAGAACTTTTTTATATTAAAAACAAACAAGCAAGTCCTGCCCAGATTTAAAAAGTAACTCAAAAGTAACGTAACACATTACTTTCCATAAAAAGTAACTAAGTACCGTAATCGGTTACTTTTTTAGGGAGTAACGCAATATTGTAATGCATTACTTTTAAAAGTAACTTTCCCCAACACTGATTATGACAATAAAGTCAGAATTAGAAGATTACATAATTACAAATCTTAATTGTAATATTACAAGATTAATGTAGTAGTAATTTGAAAGTCTAAATTACAATAAAGTCATGAAGTGAAAGTATATTTTGTAAAATCAGTTATAATAATGAAGCCGCAATATTACAAAATTAAACTAGTAATATTTTAAAAAGTCAAAATAACAACAGAGATAAAAATCATAACATTTTGTGAACTGACAATAAAGTCATAACATTACAAGTGATAATATATAGAAAAAAGGCAAAATTACAATAAAGTCATCACGAGATGAAAGTAGTAAATATTCAAAAATGAGTGTGACAATTAAATGAAAATGTCGTAATATTAATAAAATATAAATTAAAAAGTACTCTTTTTCAAGATTGAAGTCATTATTATGATAATCTTCTAAAACGATTAACATGGCCATATTTCGCTTGGCATAAACACTTTTTTAATGGCACTAAAACGTTGTAAAAGGATAATTGAATCAGAACATTTCACAAGTCTCAAACCTGCACCATCCGCATGAGCATCACAACATGTACAGTAACCACTGCACCACAGCGACAACTGTACGGTTCTTTTACGTCCCACTGTGGAAGAACTTGATGACCTTGTGAAAACACATGAGTGGTGATTTTCCTCATGTATTGCATACATGCACTCGTGCGTCGCGGGAGCACTTCTGTGCACGTGGGACGGTTTTGTTGTCTATGTGATCAGTGAAAGAGAGAGATCTGTCTAAATAACAATACAGCAGCAGAAGGCATGTCTTTCTTCATATTTCTCCACCTTTACCCCCTGCTGGGAGAGGCAGCCTTTACAAGCACACACGCGACATGTGTACACGTCTCGCAATCATGGTGAAATTGGATTGAGCGATTGCACTGCCCGTCAAACAAGCTAACAACGGCATTGTGCCTCTCAGAAAGAGGAACGAGGCTTCACGCTCTCCTGTGGGATGACGGATGAGTTTGCGCATCTGTGTATGTGAGAGATGGACTCGACTAAAAATGTGTTTTGATTCATTCTAATGGATGATTTCGCAGACCATGGAAGTAGAAAAAGGCTTTTGCTGATGCAACTGTCAGGTCGCCGTTAGGGAGCAGAAACTGAATGTGCAGCCATATCCTATTTCAGTTAAAGGGATAGTTCATCCAAAAACAAAAAGATCATGAGACGGCCATGAACCAATGATGTTTGACGGGCCAGATATGAGCATGCAAAGGATAATTTTCACCAAATAATGACTGATAACCTTGCAAATTTGTTCTGTAGAGGTGATTGCAGAAAGCATTTGATGAGTTAGTCTTTGTAAAACGCCTTGAAATAGCAGTTATACCTTCTCCAGATGAGCAATCCAACTCCAAGAGTCAGTAACATGATGAGAGCAGCCACCGAAACCACCACGATGATCACCACAGGACTCTGTTCACTAGAGGCCAGGGCCACTGCACAACAAACACACACATAGACAAACAAAAGATTTGGTTAGTATTCACTATGGCACAAGCCATTATCAGTGCTCTAAAAGCACTGGAGCTTGACAAGAAGATTGATCTTTGAAGTCTTCCCTTATTTATTTTGATAGGATCCTTTAAAAAAAGTTACGACTTTCCTCCAAATGGTCCCACTCCATCCATGGACGCAGAGTAACTTTCAGTTACGCAAAAACACTTTAGCTCTCAAATGGAAAGATGACCCCTGGTAAAGCAGCTGTTTATTGGTAAATAATGGAGAAAAACCCTTTTACGAGTCATTTATTTAGAATTCAAACCCTGATGGGACATTTAACAAAGGTAAACTTATTTGCACTCCTTTTTCTGTGAAATCCAATTATCATTGAAACTCAACAAGTGAAATATCAGCCTCACCAGTGGAGGACATCAGAACAGCAACGAATGCACACACAAGATTACTGTAAGTCTATAAATTGTGAGGAAAGATGTTTTAGAGTATTACTGAATTATTCAGTGCTGTGTTTGCATTTTGTGAATGTGAGCACTTTAAATTTATATGCTATATAATTTATGTTTACAGTACAATTCAAAAGTTTAGGATCGGTAAGGTTTTTTTAGTCACTTATGCTCACCAAGGTGGCATTTATTTGATAAAAAATATAATAAAAACACTAACACTGGGAATTATTATTACAATTTAAAATAGCTTTTATTCTATTTGAATCTATTTTACAATGCAACATATTTCTGTGATGGCAAAACTGAATTTTATAGCAGCCATAACTCAGTGCCACATGAGCCTTCAGAAATCACTCTAATATACTGATTTGCTGGTCAAAAAAAAAAAATTTTTTTTTACTATGAATGTTGAAATTAGTTGTGCTGCTTAATATTTTTGTGGTAACCGTGATATCACATTTTGTCATGATGAAGAAAAGTAAAAAGAAATCTCTTCTAACAATGTAAGCATCTTTACTGTCACGTTTAATATGTTTAATGCATCCTTGCTAAATAAAAGTAATAAATTATTTAAAAATCTTACTGACCTTAAACACTTGAATGGCATTGTATATATTTAAAAAAATATATATTTTATGCTATAAATATCAATCACAAAGGCTTATTATTCAGTCTTCGTTCCTGAATATGTTAATATACACTAACTACAAAAATGAGTACTAAAAATTTAAATTCACAATAAAATATTGTATGACTGACAGTCCTAATCATAACTTTGATGTCGCAATGAAGGGTAATATAGTGAATATAATGTAATTAATATCATATAATATATTAATATCATTTTTAAATATAATTTTAAATAATTTGACCACGAGGTCCTTTCGGAAAAACAAACATGCTCCATCTTTAAGTGTTTAAAAAGCATTAAAAATGTTTTTTTGAGGGCTGAGAAGTGAAAAATGTTCTACTATCCGATTTAATCAACCATTTTGAACCTGAACCTAGTGGAGCACTTCACATTTGAGAAAAAACCCCAAGCTGTTAGGAGCAAAAGCACAGTGGAGCGATACCAGACAGGATCTGGAATGAGACTCACCCAGTCCAAATGGTTTGCAAACCAGGCATCAAACATGGCAGCTTTGGTCTGCATAATCTAAAGCTGCTCAAATACTTGTTTGTGTGCTACAATGAAGGAGCCTGATGAGGTCACATGTGAAAGTCCTTCTAAAGCGTTCATTCAATATGAATGTGTCCTCTTAAATTAAAGATGACAGCAAGCATTTGCTCTTTAAAGTCACTGTTTCACTGTAAAGCCAACATATTTTGTGTACTAACATGAAATAAAAAAAGAAAAAAAAGTTTACAACATTTTTTGAGGGGCTGCTCATATCGCTCCTAAAATAACAGCACCACACATTCCTTTCACATACACTTTCTTCTAAAACAAAGAGACACTCACGTTCCCCCAGCGTCTGCAGCTCCAGCGGTGCGCTGTATGCCCCGTAGTCGAGCGGAGGGGGCGACACAGCTGCCACGGGGCTGGAAGAGGAAGAGGAAGCAGACAGGGAAGATGGAGACAAAGAGGAGGAGGAGGAGGAAGAAGAAAGAGGCGAGGAAGAAAGAGAAGAAAGTGCTGGGCTGGAGCAGGTGCGGATGAGGAAGACATAGGTGGTGCCTGGTTTCAGGTTGTTGACGCTGATTCTGGTGGCGGCCGTCTTCACCGTGGAATAGCTCTGATCTTTCTGATCCTGAAGGAACACAGAAATATGTCCATAAAATAACTATGGAAGTCTATGGAAGTAAATGACAGTGATGGAGATGATATTTCTGAAACATTTCATGAACATTTCTGGAATAGTATTTGGTCTTCAGTGTGACACGATCCTTCAGAAATTATTCTAATGTGCTGATTTGGCTCTCAAGAAACATTTCTTATTATTAACAATGAGGAAAAGAGTTGTGCTGCTTAATATTTTTGTGGTGATGCGGTTTTTAAGCATTCTTTGATCAATAGAAAGGTCAAAAGAACAATATTAATATTACAAATGCCTTTACTGTCATCCTTGAAATGCATTCATTCTTTCAAAAAAATAAAATAAATAAATAAATAAATAATAAAATCTATTGGTTGTGCCAGAAATTATGCCACAGGTAAAAATTTAATTTGCATTAAAAAATATATAATATAATATAATGTAATGTAATGTAATATAATATAATAAAAAAATAATAAAATCAAAATCATAATAAAAATAATGAAACATGCTTATATGGACAACAAAACATAAGCCATTAAAAGTTAACTCATTGCAAAAACTTGCTTTAAGGGTTTACTTGCAAATTAATAAAAATGAAAAAAAACAAGACTCCCCAAATTAACATAAGATAAAATGATCATTGACAAGGTCTTGACATCAGCTGTTATACAGTCAGACATGTTTGCATTGATTTTCCCTGATTTCCCTTTCCCGGATAAAAAACTGACCAAACAAACACTCAAGTCATTTACATTACATGTTATCTGTTATGATCTAAAATCTGTGGAAGATTTTGAATGTGAACGCACTCAGTGTTCATAAGAAATGTATTGTTGCGTGAGAGAGATGCGTTTTTTTCCCCTCAATCCTGGCAGGAGACATCAATGTCTGGCAGCTACATGTTTTAAAGTAGCTACTGCATCTGACTGAATGATCAATGAGCTACAGGCCTGTGGGAAGCTGCTGTTTAGTGTGGCTGTACACACATGCAGGTTAATAACAGCTTCAGTGCTTTAGTGGAGAGGACCGAGGATGTAACCGTACCTTCTCATAGTATTTGATCTCGTATTCAGTGCGGCTGCTGTTGGGATACACGGCGGGTTCCCTCCAAACCAGAGTCACACTGCGCTGCTCAACCTTCTCCGCTCGCAGCTCGTTAACCTGGGAAGGCGCTAAAGAGACAGACAGAGAGCGAAAACTTAAATAATTAAAAGAAAACTGTGAGATGAAGTGTGTAACAGATTGGTGATGATAACTGTCTGAACATGCTGATAAAGATTTGATTAAGACGTTCTCCTGCTGTCAGAATAATGTCAAATCCATCCACTGTGTGTTCAATGCTGGTTAGACAAACTCCAAGATACAACTGGCACAAATTCAACACTTTAGGAACAGTATTCAACATTTATGAGCAAACACTTTGCAAATATTTAAAAATCCTTAATACAAGACACACGTACTTGAAAAGTGAAACAACATAAAATAATACGATTTTTTGTGTTTAAAATTATGTTTACAGAACATTCTTAATTCCACTGTCAATATCCATTAATTTAATTTGATCAAATCTAGCAAAAAATTGTGAGGGTTGTGCTAAAAACAAGAATTTTTCTGTAGCAAAACTGGCAACTCTGAAAACAACTCTTAATAGCTTATGAGTTTTGCTTTTCATTTAGATATTCGTGTTAGAAAACAACATAATACTGATGAAAACAATGATTCTTGTAGTGTAAATCTGACACAACCTTCCTTTATATTCTCAAAGGTAAAATTGATTAATGTATAAATAAATATTGCTGTATAAATAATATAAAAAAATAACATATGTAAGTTAGTTTTCTTGTAGGGGCACAATAAGGATTAATATATTTTAATCATAAAAAAATAAAAAAGCTCATAGAATGAAATATAATGTACATAATACAACATAATGGTACTCTCTCAAAACAGCTACCTAAAAAAGAAACATTAGCTGTGTCAGAAATCATCTGAGTAGGTAACCCATTTGAATAAATATTTATTTTGCGACTGTTGAATGTAATCCGGACATACAGTAATACTTCCACCATGTTGTTATTGTCATGTGACCTACAACTTGCATCGTTTAACCACCATTTATGAATCCAATCCCGTAGCTTTATGGGACAGTAAACTATCTTTTGTATATGTATTCAAAATCTCGCCAAAAGTAATAGGTCATTTTGCCTGTTTTATGAAATTTGGGCATACTACACTTAGGCCTGGGTGATAAAACGGTATCGATATTTATAGACGGTACACCTTCTTCCATAACGATAGAAAAAAATGCTCGATATAGCCCACGATATAGGCACGTGCTATGAGTGACGCAGACAGTACACACAAACACAAACATGAGTGCTGTGCCTGCCTGTGATGAGGAGATTGTGAATAAAGAATGAATATTAGTCAAATTTAAAATAAACATTTGCATTTGAATGTTAGGTGAGAAACTGTAGTTTCTGTTACTAACTGAGACTTGTCATGGCACTTGCATACTGTTGTTCTCTCGTTGGTCTGATTGCTTCTATTGTTCTTATATTTGATTTTTATGAGTTAATTTAGACGTAATGCACGTTTTTTTATAGAGTTACTTCCTTGCGTTGACAATTTAAATTTGACCTCGGGAGACAAGCCAAACGTTTCCTTAAGACCTATTTAATCTGCATATAAAACATTAGAAATTAGATATTTAATTTTTATTTTGTGTTTGATTGTTAAAACAAAAAATATTTGTAGTTTGTCTCAATAAATTGGGTTAATTTAAAAATACAGTGGTTAAATTTAAACATTTTTTCTATTGCTCTTTTTTTTTTAAAAAAGGTTATAAAAAAATGTCAATAATTATCGATAATGTTGATACATTTTTTAGCTATATCGCCCAGCCCTAACTACACTTTTCACATGCTGTTTTTCACCTACTATAAACTGCAAGACTATTTCATGTCCTGAATGTAAGAGACTGAGTTAGATGGGCGAGTGCGAATGCGTCTCCTGTCGTTCTGATTAAGAGATGATTAACGATGACAGAACAGCTGAGAGCTGCCACTCAAAATCCCCCAGAGAGGACTGACAGCTCCATCACGTCAAAAACAAGCATCGGACAAATAAGACTCTCATACATCAACCAAGAACCAAAACAAACCTTATTTTTCATGTAATGCTTGCTTTTCTTTCTTCACATGCAGTAGCACATGCTAACAAAAACACTCACACAGTTTCCATCACGCCATCTTTATATCATGATTCAAAATTACAGTGTAATTTGTGGTGCTGATCAAAGACAGTACTTGTCCTCTTCATGTGTCTGACAAAGGGATGAGGGTTATTGTCATTCAGGCTGTTCTTTCGGCCTGCTACTCCAGACATCCCACGAGACACTGGCATGGAATAAAACTAAGATATCTCAGTAAAAATCCTTTGATCTCAGACAAAGTGACAGCTACACTGCTCATTAAAGATCACGGACAACTGTACTGTGACATGCTGTGTGAGACGGATGACAGTTTTATGACTACACTGTGTACAGACGATTCAATCCTTACCAGATGTGTGACCTCTTTTTCATTCTATCTTTGGCCTTTATGCCACTTTTATTGACAGGTGTAGTGTAGAGATGACAGGAAATGATGGTGAATGGAGGGAAATGACAAAAAACAAACCTGAACTCACATTAGACACATAACCAGCACAATTCAGCGTGTATGTGGTAACACATAAGCTACGGCAAGGTAGACGGGCCAACAAAGAAAATATGAATGGAGGATTTTTCAACACTCAATAAGGCAGTTTTAGGAAAGGAAATCACACTCTTAAACAAAAAGAGCTAGTTATCAAGTTTTTTTTGTGTGTGTGTGTGTGTGTGTGTGTGTAGTAGTATGTGCATTCACAATAGCTTTAAGAATAGCTTTATGAACAATTATTATTTCTATTTACTTATTTTGTATAATAGTGTTAAACTTTCATATCTTTTTTCAAAAATAATTTTTAAAAATGATTTAAAAACAAACAAATTAAAACTACAGAAATCTACATAATACACAATACATAATAAAACTACAAATTATATCAGCATTACAATTTAAATAAAAAAACCCCCTGAAGTTTCAATTACAGAATTTTGTAGTATTTTGTGTTTTTTAAACAGGGTTCTAGTGACTAGATTAGGAATTTAAAAAAGGTTACACCAGTACTTAGTTACAGTAATTTATAGCCAAAGAAAAATTAAATTAAATTAAATTAAATTAAATTCCAGGAATAGAAATCCTACTTCACAAGTTTGTGTAAACGTGATGTACAATTGTACAAATGCTGGAGAACATGATCATCAGGTGAGATGCTCTTGGCTCCATTGAAGCATAAAACGCTTTCTGGAGTTCACAAGGTCAAATTTGCTTATATTATTGGTAGCCTAGAAATTTCCTTAAACATTCCCAGATTTTTTTACATGGTTTCACACTTCTGGACCCCACAAGTTATGTGTGGAGAAAAAAAAAAAAAACTAGCAAAAAAACACCTAATTCACTAATAAATGGATGTATAATCTCAAGAGGGATGAGAGGCACAACCTAACAGTTTGTGGGTTATACTGGGTGTAAGAGAAGCTTCTCTCCCCCTCCATTTCTACTCCAGGCTGTTGTTTCTTACCCACCATAATGAATAATGTATAAAGAGCTCCAAACTGCTGCTCTGCCTCCCACTCCAACTCTGAAAAAATGCACTTACAAACATAGTTAACACCACCCTGCACAACACACACACACACACACACACACTCACAACTGATTGCTGGCAGTCTGACCCCATCCAAGTGGGAGGAAATGAGAAAGGAGATGAATTGCTTTGAGTGTAACTCCATCACTGCAGGCGCCAAACTGAAGGTTACAATGTTCTGAATCGGACAGCGATATTGAACTGACCTCTGTAAGACAGGTTAGGGTGTTACGCTACAGGTTAACCTTTCAAACACACACATAAACACACATACATATGCATTCACAGCATACACAAACACTCTATTAGGTAAATGCGAACATGACATCTTTAAACCCCGATCAATGCACTACAAAAAAGGTTTCCATATATTTGCCACAGTGTTGTTACTGTTAACTGAAACTAAAAAATTGCTAATTGAAATAAAGTTGAAATAAAAATATAAAATAAATATAAATAATACAAATATTAAATAAAACATTGCCTTGGCAAATAGCTAATAAAATTTAAGTTGAAGTACTAAAATTATATATAAAATAACCGCCAATGAGTTTATGGAAATGGCATTTTAAACATTTCTGGATTAATTTTGCTGATTAATTTGTTTTGCTAAGACTTAAAAACTAGCATTTTATGCATGCTAAATACACAAAATTATAAAAATTAATTTATGGATTTTAGATTTTTAAATTCAATTTTCTAATTTATCAGTTCTATGTATAACTGATATTTAAATATTATTTTTCCTTTGCACTTGTTTCTATGTCTAACTTAATCTTAAAAGCAAAATTGTTGGTATAAATAAAAAATAGAAATATAAAAAAAATGTTAATTTAATAAATAATTAAATAATTTGAATAATTATTTAAAAACATATTAATTGTTTAAAATTAAAATGAAAACTGAAAATATAAAAATAAAAATGAATTCAAAATATAATACTTTCCGTACCCACTGTATATATATATATACAGTATATATACTATAAAAGTACATAACACTAAAATAACACTGACTTGCCAATGGAAAACACACATTCATTTGATATTCAACATTCTGATAAAGAAAATCATCTTTGCAGCATGCCAGTGGTCACAAGAGTAAAGGAGGAACTGGATTTCTTGAGCAGTCTGCATTGCCCTCTAGACAGATTCTTTCAGCAGGGGCATTTTGGAAACTCCGTTTGGCACAGAGCAGTGTGCTATCAGAGCGTGCAGGCAAGCACACGTCACTCCCTCAGGACATCTTCATGTGAATAAATGCGTAAGTCTCTCTCTCATCCTCAGTCGTCTCATTATTGTCTGGAGAATTCCTTCTATTGGCTCTGCAGTCTTTGGCTCGCGCCACTGCAGCGACTACATCCGGCTAATCGTGGTGCTTCTGTTAAATACTTACAGTATCATCCACTTAAAGGACTGTTGTGTGTGAAAGAGTAGAACGG